CGCAAAACCACCCCTGGGGAGGGAAAGGGAGGCCTGTGGGTCTCCTCCGTTCTGCCCACAGACCTGGTGACGGACGAGGCAGAGGCCGGCGCGTTCGTGGAGGAGTATGACCGTGTGTACCAGGTGGTACTGAACGAGTACGTGGAGGCCAGCTGGAACCACAACACCAACATCACCTCCGAGACCAGCAGGATTCTGGTGGGCGCTGTCTGGGTGTGGGCAGACACTCGGGGCACGCGCCACGCACACACACACCCCTGTGCCGCTGATGGCGCATTTACGTTGGTGCTGGTTTCAGGCGCAGGGGAGTCCTGGCTCCCCGGGCAGCATCCCAGGCTCCCTACCTCATGTGGTGAAAGGTTGAAAGCCGCCTCTGCCCCACCCCGAGGCTAGGCGTCCCTCACTCCAATCCCGCCTGTTTTGGTTGAGCACACGTGGCGCCGCTCGAGCCACTCGTGAGGCTGACTGACCACAGGGAGTAGCCTGCTTGGGGACTGGCCGTTGCTGGCCCCCAGTCCTTGGCATCTTCCTCCACTGGCTTCTTTTTCCTCGCCAGCCTTGGGAAATCCGTGACCCTGTTCCCATTTTGCAGATGGGACCCTGAGGCTCCAAGAGGCCATGGCGCTCATGCCAAGCTCCTGGCATCCCACGACGGGCCCCTGAGACACGGGGCTTCCCCGTTTGGTAGAGGAGCGAGCGTCTGCAGGGACAGGTCTCGCCCAACGGCAGGCGCCGAGGGGCGCACACTGCATCTGGGACTTTCTCAGACAGCCCAGCTTGCAGGGGGTCGAAGGCAGCCGCGTGACCCTGCGTCCCCTCCCTGCCCCCACCCTCGCGACCATCCCTTCTGCCCTCAGCTGCAGAAGCACATGCAGATGGCCAACCACTCCCTGAAGTACGGCCTCCGGGCCAGGAGGTTTGACGTGACCCACTTCCAGAACACCACCACCAAGCGGATCATGCGAAAGGTGCAGGACCTGGAGCACGCGGCGCTGGCGCCCGAGGAGCTGGAAGAGGTGTGTGGCGGGGGGGGGGGG